TCTTGAACTGAATTCGCCTATATGAGATATACGCCTTTATTGCAAAATACATTTGTGCGTGATTCAAAATCTGGCAGTAAATCTGTTTAATTTCAGTAGTGAATACAGAATGAAAGTATTTGTTTAGAATATCTGAAATTACAGCACCATCGGTTACTATGTTTCTATTGTCATATTTGAGAGCTTGAAGTAAGTTATTAGTTTCTACTTTTTGTTTGATCACAAACTTTATTTGAATCTTTTTTAAAAACATTAGCTTACTGATATTCGTATCTTTGAATAACTATTTTTATTACCTCTGAAACATGCTTACTCCTGAGTGTTTTGTGTGTTTTAATTCCATGAGCGACATTTTGCCTCGAGAGATTACGTTTATAAAAAACCGCTTCTTTAACTTCAGGTGTGGTTCAAGGCTCTTTTTTAGTTTTGAATGGAACAAAAGTTACTGGAATGTATTTGCACACAGCTTCCATATACTTGTTTACAATAGCTGGTAGTTAAAGTTTGCTGAATGATTTGTTAAGGATTGTCCCAATCGTAATCAATTATTTAATCATTATTTTATCACTTTGCTCCAAAAAAAACGTGAATGAAAAGTAGCTGGTACTTCAAAGTTTATAGTTTCAAAATTTCCAGTAATTTAAAAATGAACTTTACCCTTAGGTGTTTCTACAGTCGGATCATACTTTTTGAGGTCTCCAACTCGCCTTGGTTTATCGGTAATGACAAGAATATTACCCGGTAATCGTTTCTTGAGTTACGATAAGTTGGGAATGTTGTTTGAGTAAAAAAAATGCCACAATCACAGGTTTAACTAGAAAAATAAATAATAAAAAAATTAAAAGTTGCTCATTGTATAAAAATCATTGCCTAAAAGTACAAAAATTGTGAAATAATTCAAACTTTAGGAAACTTTATAAAAATAAGAAACTTTAAAAATATATAGGGGAAAGGCGCCTATGATGGCATACTTAAATTTGAAGCTTCATTGTTCAGTGTCCTGAAGACCAAGAACAAAAGTTTTGACATTGATACATTCCTTGTTACATGTAGAACAATAACAACCATAGGAGTTTTAATCAGTTTTGTTTTTATATTAGATATTATTTTTTTTAAAAAAAGCACAAGTATGCCATCACAAGTATGGCATAGAGGAAGATGAGGTTGGTTAGCATTAAGAGTAACTTGAGGATTTCATTTAACCTTAGAGTCTTCCCTCAGAAATGCCAGAAACTACGCGTAATCATCCTAATTTACCTTTTTATGCTACACAACAGCAGTGTTGAATTTCGCGCATGCGTATAAAAGATATCGCGTTTTATGTTACAGATTTTTTTGCAAATACTATATTCACTAAATTTGGCATGAGTACAAATGTGAGGTCGCACTTTATATGGAAGTCGTAACTTTTTATTTAGTTGCTGTGGATATTACTTAACAACCATATACTTTTCTTAGTAACACACAGCAAAGTTCGATTTTTGAATAAGTTTTTATCGGATTTTCAACCGTCCTATTTTAAATAACTATTTAATATTTGATGTTTAGGTAATTAATTTAAGGTAAAGATTTAGATTATTAATAATAAAAACGAAAAATAGTGCAATAAAACATTGACAATTTGAAGTACATAAACAATTCATATAACATACATACATACATACATAAAAAAAGATATCGTATGATGAGCATAAATTGAAAATCAATCTGCACAAAAGTTGGCATAATAGATCATACCCAGTAAGAAAAAAACGTCGAACCGTTGTTGTAAATTGGTTGGATTTGGGTCGCGACGCTTGTTAATTAGATTCCAACGACTGTCCAAAGTCGGCAAAACGGCGTTATTTTAATTTTTGTCTATCAAACGTTGGAACAACGTCGGAAAAACGTTATCATCTAACGTCTTGAATGTTAACATTAAAACGACGTTGGAACAACGTTGATTGATTGCGTTAATCAGACAACGTTGAACCAACGTTAGTCTGATTAACGCAAAAAAGACTTTGAAACAGCGTTGCTGTTTTACGTTTGGGGCCATCCAAAAAGGACGTCATCCAAATAGGGGGGGGGGAGGGGTCGAGTTAAAAAGGACAAAAAAAGACAAGGGGAGGGGGGAGGTTGTCAGAAAAGGACGTCACTATATACACTTTTTATTTTAGTTTAACATGGAAAACTACGTAAACATGTGTTTTTGAGAAGATAATGTATAAGAATATTTTTAATTTTATTTTTCAAAGGTGTCGCAGCAGGTACAAACATCATTGCAAAATGAAATACATTTTTTTGGAATTAAAAATAGGGAGGGGGTCAGGATTTTATGACGTCCATTTCCAGGGGGTTTAGGGGAAAATGACAACCGGTGACAAAGGCGGGGGGAGGGGGGGATGAAGGGGTCAAAAATTGCCTAAAAAATGGTGACGTCCTTTATGGATGGCCCCTTTTAACTTTTGACAAAAAGTAAATACAACTATATTTTACAAAACAAAAATAACTTGCGCATTTTAAAATGGTTGAAAAACCGTTTTCAAAAAAAATGTTATTTGAATCTGTTTTTTAGGCATTATAATCTGTTATACTAATGTTTATTGCATTATTTCTTTATATTTTACATTTGAATTATATATCAAATTTTTTATCATTTTAATGTTAAATAAAAGTTACTTAAACTTTATTTGATTTTCAAAAGTTGTTGAAATTTTTGCTCTTTTGTATACTTTGTATATTTAACATAACATATATAGTAAAAATTTCTAACATATATAATATTTCACATATTATTAATTTCACATAATATTTCATTTGAAAATAAATAATGCAATGATGCGTTTTTTAAATACCCATTATTAAACTATTTAATAGTTTAATTAAATGTTATTATGAAATGTTATTACGGTTTCAGAGGAGTTGCTTTCAAATAGTTTCATACATGTATATGCGCTCTCAGTTTGTAAGCATTGGAAACATTTCCTTCAATACTAGATCAACATGTATTGGTGTTCGACAACATGTATCGGTGTTCCACAACATGTATTGGTGTTCCACAACATGTATTGGTGTTCCACAACATGTATTGGTGTTCCACAACATGTATTGGTGTTCCACAACATGTATTGGTGTTCCACAAGGTTCAATCTTAAGTCCACTACTCTCCATCGTTTAAATAAACAATTTGCACACAATTCATAAATGTGTTCAAATTGCACACAATTATGATTGACCAATTATGATATAATGCAACACATAATTCTCCAAAACATATCATTTTGGTGGTGAGACCAATCTTCTTATTGTTAGTAAATTTCTTAAAATAAAAATTTGCATACACTTCCATTGACTTTGCTTATAATAAAGAGTGCTGTGACTCTTTCTCGCTTTACCTCGGTTGCAATGGCTGCCAAGAGTACTGTGTCATACACGCTCGAATGAGTACTGCTAAGTTCCTTATTATTATACTTAATAATAACATAATAACTAGGGTTGTTCACGAAAACCAAAGTTGAATTTTTGATTAAAAAAAAAGTTTTCGAAACTCTATTTTTGTATCGGTTTGAAATAATTTTAAAGTAATTAATTTTGCATCGAAACGATTTTTTACTTTCGAAATTGTAAAATTTGCTTCGAAATATTTTCAGAATTTCTAAATTATAAAAGTATTACACAATATACAAATATTACTATTAAATTCTAAAAATTGCTTATATTTATTTTATTACTGAAATTGTACAAAATTTTATTAAAATGTTTTTATAAATACTTAAATTTTAAAAATTAACATAAAATGATACTTAAAATTTTTGGTGTTACAGCACAGTGGTGGTAGAGAAAAGGGTTTAACTACCTCCCACTATTTTGTTGAAGAATCTGCTATTATTTTAAAAATAACTCAGGGATCGTTCGCAAATCACCTCACATATTTAGGCCTAGCAGGGTTTCGGATTTTGTGACACTTTGTAGCCGGGGGGTGAAAGAGGGTTTACAAATTTGTGACATCACAGGTGATTAAAGCGGAATAAAATAAAATTACTAACTTTAATAAAATTACTAACTTTAATAAAATTACTAACTTTAATAAAAGCAGCACACAAATAAGTAGAATTACTGTGATAAACACAACCACATGTTTCAATTCTCAGACAGCAAGCTTACATTGGATCAACGTTGGGCCAATGCATGATGATGCATTGGCCCAACGTTGAAAGTCGATGTTGGCCCAATGCAGGTTTGATCATTGGTTAGGTATTGGCCCAATGTTGTGTACAACATTGGCCCAACGTTGTATACAACGTTTACCCAACATTGGCCCAACGTTGTATATAACGTTAGGCCAATGTTGTATACAACATCGGCCCAACGTTGTATACAACATTGACCCAACGTTGTATACAAAATTGGCCTAACGTTGTATACAACATTGGCCCAATATCGTATATCGTATATCGGCCTAACGTTTTATGCAACATTAGATCGTTGTTACAAATAAGATGATTTGCATCGCTACATCAAAAATTTATAGAGAAAAAAAAGAATGTATGATACAAGTATAAAAATTTATTTATTTAACATAATTTCTCGGTTAAATATACATATTGCAAACACCAAACTTACACCAAAAACTGACACATTGAGTTTCAAATAAAAAAATTAACTATAAAATTTATAGAGTAGTTTCGATATTGGCTGAGCTACTTGTTATTTGGTGCCCACGATTATTATTTTTTATTCCACTATCTCTATCATGTGTCTGCATAAGCTATGCTTATTTGACAGTTTCTACAACAAAAAAAATAGTTTTTTTTTTAATTATGCACCAAAGAAACATAACAAACTGAAATTAATTCTGTAATGCAAAACTGAGACTGAAAAAGTAAACTTTTCTAAACGACTTACCAATAGCAACATATGCAATCAACATTTTTCCTATTCCAATTTTTTGTCTTCTCCCAGGATAGTTTAATTTTACAGCTAGGCCATTTTAACAAACAATTCTTAGTATATAACATATACAATCTCCTTTTTTTTTAACTCCAATTTGTGCCAAATAATTAACCTGCAAAAATACACAACCTGGCAATAATTAAAGTAACTTTTGTTTAGACTTAAATTAATATAAAATGTCATTTACAAGAAATCTTCAAAGAGTATTTTATTTAAAGTATATAAGTTGTACTAAGATATCATACAAAATGCCTAAACAGATCATAAAAAATATTTACCATTTACTAAAGTATTTTCTTGTCTTCTTTCTTCCAGAGTACTTAAATTCTTTACTGCTTTTAATGGCAATGACACTCTTTCAGGCAATACAATAATTAGCATACCTTAGTTACTCAAATTTTTATAACTGAATTTGATGTGTTTTGTAGTTCAGCAAGTTGCACTTCAATGCTTGCCCGTTGTGTCAATAATACCAGCATATCTTTCAAGGATACAACTTTATCTTGAACATTAAAGTTAATTATATTATTAAGAAACTATACAACTAATTACATATAATATTTAGAATTTATGAAAGTAAATACAACAATCACTAATAAAACAGATAAAATTAAAGAAAGTGGGTCAAATTTTTAATGATAAAAATATATACTTGCTAATGGATCATTAATACTTTTATGAATTATGAAATTTGCAGGTGTGCATTCAATTTCTGGCACTGACACAAAACATTTCTTGTTAATGTTTAAGCTTACCCATTAACGAGAATTGTTTTGTGTATCTTATAAAATACAGATTGCACTGTACAACAAAAAAATTCATATTAAAATAATGTTTCTCCAACAGGGTTTGTAGCCAACAATTTATATAAAAATCAATGACTTTTTTGAAAAATCAGATGAATTTCCCTGACCATTTTTAACAATGGTTTTTACAAAATGTTTAAAATTACTATCTACTGTAATGGAAATGCTAAGATGATACATGCTTTCAATGACAAAACTTTTAAAACCTAGCTATTAGTTAAGTTGGATATTAGTATGGAGCTTATTATACATGTTAGTATGGATCTTATTATTAAGGATGACTAAGAACGAACACTAAGAAAAACATAAGTTTCAGAAAAATTAAATGGGTAGCTCCAAGTCACAAAATTAAAATTTTACAAGAGAATGAAAAACAAAAAAAAATCTTTATTTTATTTTAAAAATAAAATATTTTTTTTAAATAACCTCACTTTCATAAAAATTGTGGTTATTTGAAATATAAAGTTGTTTGTAAATAATTTTTTTTACATATTTTAATTCTGAATTTTAATAATACAGTTTTTAAAAAGTAATATCATCTATAAAAATATTGTATTACTTTCGTCTATTATATAAATTTAAATAAACATTTATATAATGAATAATAATGAACCACCAGCAACTGTTAAAACTTTACACTGATATGAATACTCTGTTGTTTTTTTCAACAGTTGAATTTAAATAGATTTCAAAGTTGGTGACACCAACTTTGAAATCAAACAAAAAAATTTTGTTACGTTAAATCGACGAGAAAACCTGGCAAGTTTTTCTGTGGTCAGTATTAGAGAGCGATCGCTCTCGCTTCCTGACCAAGCTTTGATATGCTGATTATTACACAATAAAATGTTAATCAACACTATGACTTTTTGACCGTAATATGTGAAAAAGTTTTTAAAGTTGTAAAAGCTAAAGCTATGAATAAAGATTTTCAATCATCAGACATAAAGACTTTTATATAAAAACTTACCATTTTATAAATTTGTTCATTCAACTTCTCAGAGCAAACATTGAACTTCTGTAAAGAGTTTGGAGTTACAGGTAAATCCCAAAGTTTGATAACATTTTTTGTTTTATTATAAGAAAATTAGGTGTAGAGATATACTCAATACTCTTTTTGTCTCTTTAATCTTTATTTTGACTGGTCATTTTTGCTGTATTCCTTTTTTGACTCCAGAGCAGTAATTTAGCCTTCTGCTAAATTCAATCTTGTATTGCTTTTAAAATCTATAAATCAAATCATTAATAATTAAGTTATAACTAAAGTTAATGTATAAGCTTAAAGTTGTTAATTGTTGTACGCAAACTAAATATAAAAAATATCCAGAATTGTTAAATTAAAAAATAATTAAACCTCAGAAACATGGAATATTAAAGAGCTCTACATAAGTAGAATATAAGTTCTAGTAACTTCACTTTTTATACACTGTTTTAATATGTTAGTAGATGGGGTTTCATAATCAAACACAGAAAAAAAATCAAACAAAAGAGACATATTTAAAATGTAAAATATCAGCTTTTAACAACTTCAATGGCATTGAAGTTGACATTGGCATTGACAATGGCAATGGCAATGCCAAATATATATTATTGATACCTTTAATAATATATCTTATAATAGCTATATAATCTAAACTATTATAAATAAATTATGAAAAAAAAAAAATTTATACTGTATGACATTTCAAATGTTTGATTTATTTAATAAAGAAGACATTTAAAATGTCTTCTTTATTAAATAAATCGAACATTTGAAATGTTTCATTTATTTAATAAAGATTATTAAATAAATCAAACATTTGAAATGTCAATAGAGTTATAAAAACAAAATAATAACTTCAAGATATTACACAAATATAATTTAATTATTGCCTTTATTATTACATTAATAATTCAGATAGTAATAAAAAATGTTTTAAGCATTACGTTTAAATGTTAACAAATATTTCATTATTTAAAAAAACATTAAGTCACGAGAATCTCTTGAAGTTTATTTCTTATAAAGAACCTGTTAAGATTCTTAGAAGATTAATAAATATAGCTTCTTATTTTTATAATTTAAAAAAAAAAATGAAAACAAAACTTTTTTTTATTCTGTCAAACGATACCATTTTTACAAATGTTTCAAAACAAATTTAAAAGAATATACTAATCCGCAATTGCATCGGCCGAATATTGGCAACGGTATAAATGTAAGTACAGATTTTTATAGCAAAATATTAAGCCTAAACTACATTGGCCAAATATTGGCCCAACGTAGTACGATAATTGCAAAAAACCGATTTGTAGAATTGCGAAAAAAAAAACATTGGCTAAATGTTGGCCCAATATTGTACGATATTTGCAAAAAACCGATTTGCAAAATTAAAAGCAATACGCCGAAAAAAAACATTGGCTAAATGTTGGCCCAACGGAATAAACTTGCCAATGTTAAAACTTACATTGGGCCAATGTAAGCTTGCTGTCTGGGAATTAAAGTAACTTTTGTTTAGACTTTAATTAATATAAAATGTAATTTACAAAAAATCTTCAAAGAGTATTTTATTTAAAGTATATAAATTGTACTAAGATATCATACAAAATGCATAAAAAAATTATAAAAAAATATTTACCATTTACTTACGTATTTTCTTTTCTTCCAGAGTACTCGAATTCTTCACTGCAATGACACTCTTTCAGGCAATACAATAATTAGCATACCTTTGTTACTCAAATTTTTATAACTGAATTTGATGTGTTTTGTAGTTTACCAAGTTGTACTTCAATGACGACTAAGAATGAACACTAAGAAAAGCATAAGTTTCAGAAAAAATAAATGAGTAGCACCAAAAAAACATAATAGCTTAATTGAGCGTTGTATTTTGAAAATGTGACAAGTCACAAAATTAAAATTTTACAAGGGAGTGAAAAATATTTCTCCTGTAAAAAAGTTATTTTTATTTTATCTAAAAATTGTTTCTTTTCTCTAAAAAAATCTTTATTTTATCTAAAACAATCTTTATTTTATCTAAAACAATCTTTATTTTATCTAAAAAATCTTTATTTTATCTAAAAAAATCTTTATTTTATCTAAAAAAATCTTTATTTTATCTAAATATTATTTTATTTTAAGTAAGTTATTTGAAAAGAATATTTTTTTGAAAATATTCTTTTCAAATAACCTCACTTTTAAAAAAAGTGTGACTCATCACGTTTTCAAAATACAGCGTTCATTTGTGAAACGAGTAACTTCTTAACTAGAACTACTGATTTTTCCATGACTATCTAAAGAAAAAAATAATTCCCTGACTTTCCCAGGTTTTCCACGACTTTAACCAATATTAACAAATTTTCCAGATTTTCAAGGTACAGTACGGACCTTGTCCAATGTTTGTAAATAATTTTTTTTACATATTTTAGTTCTGAATTTTAAAAACACTATTTTTAAAAATAATATCATCTATAAAAATACTGTATTACCTTCGTCTATTAGATAAATTTAAATAAACATTTATATAATGAATAATAATGAATCACCATCAACTGTTAAAACTATAAACTGATATGAATACTGATATAATACAAATACTGTTGTTTTTTTCAACATTTGATTTCAAATGGTTTTCAAAGTTGGTTATACCAACTTTGAAATCCAACAAGAAATTTTTGTTACGTTCATAAACTTAAATGTTTTCAAAACAACTAAAAAACCTGGCCAGTTTTTCACAACTAAATAATTTTATTTTTCCGGTTGTCAGTAGAGGCTTTACAAACAATAAGAATATAACTGAAATAATAAAGTGAAAAAAGATTGCTAGCCCATGCCAAACCCTCATTCGATGTAGCAGCAGGCTATAAGATAGTTGATGTAGCCAAACCCCCTAGCACAACAAGCGCAAAAATATAATTATTTTAGGCTGCGTAACTGTAGCTTTACCGTTTTTAATGATTATTTATTGATTTAATCTCATAATTCAATTAATTATTATAGACTAGTCATTGGTCTTAAAATAAAATGTCTGGCAATATTGGAAAGCTCTACATAAGAAGAATATAAATTCAAGTAATATCACTTTTTGTACAGTTTTAATATATTGGTAGATGGGCTTTCACAATCAAACACAGAAAAAATCAAACAAAAGAGTCATACTTAAAATGTAAAGTATCAGTTTCTAATAACTTTAATGCCACATATGTATTATTGATACCTTTAATAATATATTTTATAATAGCTATACAATCTAAACTATTATAAACAAATTATGAAAAAAAAAAACTTATACTGTGTGACATTTTAAATTTTTGATTTACATAATAAAGAAGACATTTAAAATGTCTTCTTTGTTAAATAAATTGAACATTTTCATCACTGGTAGAAATAAAAGGCTAAAAGAGCACCTTGCAAAGACTCATAAGAATGTTGCAGGTTGTCCACGAGTTTCCATTGAGTTTCAAGAAGAAATGAAGTCGTTTATGTTGAAAAAAACCGAGGGCAAAAGAACAACATTCAAAGAAATGGACGAGGTTTGTCGAGTGGGAATGCAAGAGCCATTTGCTACTGAAGGCAATCCAAAATTAAAAAAACCAACAGACTTAAGTGCTGTCAAGTTCAACAAATAAGTTCATAGACCCATTAATTTTTTACACAACAAGAAAAAATTGGTAACGAGAGTGCTGAATGTTCCACGATTTATCAAATGTACCAAGTTACCTTGAATGACAGTTGTAAGAAAAACGAAAGAATACGAATTTGTATGTCTATTGGACGGTTCTTCTATGAGAATTTAATACCGTTCAATGTAGCAACAAGTCCTTCATAATGGGCCATGATGAAGGATGTATGTGAATTTGGAAGAGAATTTAAACCCCCAACTATGCATGAATTTCGAACATTGATTTTCAAAAAAGAGCTATGGATTCTAAAAAAAATACTATTTAATCCATCGTCCATAAAGCGAAACCTTGATGGATTTAGACCGGTTGTAGTATTATGTCTGACGCTTGGACTCACACAAATGGGCGTACATTGATAAATTTTTTAGTTGATAACTCGAAAAGGTACTTACTTTTTAAAGTCCATCAATACATCGGATCAAGTAAAAGAAGCAAAGTTGCTTTATAAATTACTTAATGAAGTTGTTGAGGAATCTGGAGAAAAGAATATTATCCAAGTGATAACGGACAATGCCTCGTCTTATAAAGCAGCAGGGCGAATGTTGATAAAGAAAAAAAAAATTGTATTGGATGCCTTATGCTACACACTGCATTGACTTAATGTTGGAGGACATTCTCAAGTTAACCTTCTATACTTCTGTGTTCAATAAGGCCAAGAAAATAATAAATTTTATCTACGGTCATGCATGGGTTTTAGTGATAGTAAGAAAATTTACCGACGGAGATTTGGTGAAACTTGCTTTTACTCGGTTCGCCACTGCATTTTTTACTTTTGCAAAGCTTGTTTGAAGCAAGGTGTGGACTTGAATCTTTTTTTACTTTAGGAAAGTAGAAAACCAATGCTTATGCATCTAGATCTTTAGAGGGAATATAAGCGCAACATAATTCTAAAAAGCAAGTTGTTTTGACCTAGTGTTGCTAATGTGCTCAACACAACAAAGTCTTTAGTTAAGTTCCTCGAATGGCGGATTCAAAGAAGTATCCACCAATGGGGTTTATTTACAAAGCTATGGAAAGGGCTAAAGAAAAAATTGCTCAAAATTTAAATAATGATGTTGCAAAGTATCAGATTGTTTGAGATATTGTGCATAGTCAGTGGGATTGTCAGCTTTACACGCATTGATAAATCAGAGGATGGACTCGGAATTTAATAGAACCTTGAGCTTGACTTATAGTGCTTCTGGATGTAAACGGAATTGGAACTCCTTCAATCAAGTAATAATATAAAGTATTTTTGTTGTAATGGTTATTCGATTTTTATCATACTAAGCTTTAGTATTTTAATGAAAAGGTGCACACAAAGAGAAGAAATTGCTTGAAGCAAGCAAAACTCAATGATTTGGTTTACATTATGTTCAATTTCAAACTAAAACACAGGGAGATAATGAAGAAAACAATTGAAGATCCCTTTTGTTTGAATGATGTAGACTCTGGCGATGAATGGATCTTAGAACTCCTAGATCCTGAGATAGAGTCCTAAGAACATCTTGATACAAATATAGCTCTTGATGACCCTTTTAAAGTTGAAGAAGGTAAATTATTTCAACATACAAAGAAGAAAAAGAAGAAAAGCAAAGGTATAAGATATTACTTTATATTGTATTTGAATAATTTGTTTTATTTTTTTGGTTCTACTTTTTTTGGTTCTACTCAAACATATATATTTCCTTTAGGTATAGAAAAAAATCCAATTGATGACGATGAGAAGGATTTTTCTCATACCAGGGAGGAATGCGAAGAAGAAGAGGTTGAACTGAATTTCATGGACGATTCTCTCGAGGACCCTAATAGTAGCACTAGTTTTAGTGACAATAGCGATGATTGATGGGTTTAGACTTATGAGAGTAGGTCATATTTATTTCGAATCTGTAAAAGTTTGGAGCTTCTAATGATTTTTCTTGGATCTTCTAATGAAAGAATGATTTTACTGTAATGTTTTTTCACTGTTTTTAAGCTTTTCTTTAAAAAAAAAGCGTTATTCTTAGTGTTGTAATCGACTTCGACTAAATCGACTAAAAGTTGACTAGTCAAAAGTCGAAAACTGTCGACTTTAAAAAATCTAATTGTCGATTTAATCGACTTTGGATTTTCTACTAATTGACTAAAGGTCAATTTAATCGGGTACACACATTTATTTAATAATATCATATTATTTAATTAAATCTTTAATTTTAGTGGTTAATTTAATAACAATAATATAATAGGTGTAATTATTATGTGTTGCCTCGTTTTTTCAGTGCCAGATTAATATATTGCTCCCCATTCCCCTTAACCTAGCAATAAGTTTTGTTTATTCTCCAGAAGTTATATTAAGGGTTTGACTATTTCAGTAAATTAAAAAAAAAGTTGCTTGTTACCGGTTTCTGTGGTATCTTGAGAGTAACTTACGGTAACTTTATATAGTTTTAGGCGTATTGTGATTTACAGAAAGTAATTTCATTTATGCCTTTTGATGACTATGTCTGGTAACTAGAACTAATTTACCCATATGTTAACGGTAAGTAATGTTAACGGTTTTTAACTTTCCGATTCTACCATAATATCTAAAAAAACACACTGTCAAAAAATTAGGCCTAAAAGAAGAGGTGGAGGACGGGGCTTAACTAATGGAACCCGTATTTGTACAAATAATATTGTTTTCATTTTATATACTTTTTCTATCCTTTTTTATAAAAATTACTTCTTAAACGTTTTCTTTTTTCAATATCTAATTACATCTGAAGCCATAACATTTAATTGTAAGGTTCCACCTCTAATGGTCCTGAATATATGATCCATCATTTAACGAGGATCCACCTTGAGTAAGCCCATCCGCTTTCTTCAGTTCCCAAAAAATCTCTTGGCAGACCTGCCACATAACATTATGTTATGAGGTATATAGCAAGTCTGTCGAGAGAAATTTCTGGCACTGAAGAAAGCGGATAAGTTTTAGTGGATAGGAGGAAACCTTTTAACTTAATAAATCTTTTTCGGTAATGTGTTTGCTTTTTTTTGTTTGTTTTGTGTTTGCATTTGATTTTCAAAAATACATGCATACAGGCCGTTCGAACAGCCGTATAAGGTGCATACAGGGCCGTTCCGAGTTAAATAGGGTTCTACGATTATTTAAGTGTAAACGTGATTGTACAGACTTTTATCCCCTGCTTGGGGAAATGTCTTGCCACCAAAGTTACAGCTATACCCGTGTGGCTGAGGATCTTTAGCTCAGCAGAAACCCTTGTACACTC